GCTGGTTCTCACAGCCTCCTCTATGTCTTAGAGAAAGCACCATCTAAATACCAATGGTACCAATGGCACAACTAGTTAATATTCCTGACAGAACAATTGATGGACAAAGCACAGAACATTCCAGGGACACATAATCTGGCTGTAATTGAGAAACTAAATTCTCTTCTTTTATATACAAGTGGGACTTGTATTTATTGGAACAGCATACCATTAGAATCTTGCTTTATCCAGGAATAGTTATTACTTAGAAACGATTTATTTGGTTTTTAATAGTTTAGTCAATTTGTTCACTGTTAGAGTTAGATAAATAAATTGTTACTTGTTCATTTTAAAGTGAGTGTCAGGGATTTATTTTATTTAACCACTAGAAGTTGCTGAAAAGCATGTTACACCATTTTCACACTCCTTTTACAGATTATGGGGCGAGGTGCTCCTCTTTGGTGTTTCGGTTAGAGGGGGGTCAACCTCCACTTTATAATACCACAAAGTGACAAAAAAATTACAACAAACGATGACAATCATCCAAAATACAAACTTGTGGAAGATTTTTTAAACTCATGGAGTATTAGACTGAACAGTTATCCAGTGTTATCACTATATAGTTCATAAATCAGCTCTGGAGAAGAGCCATACCAGATTTTAAATGTTAACCTGATTTCTCTGAATAGATACTGACTGACTACTGAGTTTTTCCAGCATTCTGTTTCTTTCAGATTTCCAGTATCCACAGTATTTTGCTATTGTATACAGTAGTTCATAATTCATAATTCGTGTTTTAGAATATAACTTTTACTTTTAGGAATTTTTTTTTAAACAGTAGCAATTTGGGTTGTTTGATTGAGAAACTGGTAAAAACAACCCTTAAGTAAACACAACTCAAAGAAACTTGGAATTTGTTACACTTAAATAGTTGGGGCCATATTGACATGAAATTAACAGCTAGAAAGCCAACTGGAAAGATGACATTCACAGTTTTCCAGTAAAGGATAAGTTATTCATGTGGTCTTACAGAATTAAGAAAAGCTTTGGAAGTAAATAGATTGCATTTCTGCCTGGCAACAGGCAGAATGTGTCACACTGCAATTGAGATGGGTGGAGCTTAGTGAGATTCTTCTTTCTGAGTCAGCTCTGAGAAGTCAATTAGGTCATAGCTATTGGACATAGTTTGGCAAAGCAGCTAAGAGACTGTTAGCTTTTATTTTGTAGCTCATACCTCCTCGGAAATCAAGCAATAAAGCCAGATCTACATCTGAAGTACAGTAAACACTATATTTATATCCCAGCAATCTGTTCAGAGATGTGGAGATAGCAAGGTCTGTAGATGCTGGAAGTCATAATCGATAAAACGTGGAGCTGGAGGAGCACAGCAGGTCAGACAGCATCAGAGGAGCAGGGAAGTCAACATTTCCAGTCAGGGCTGGGGAGGGGGAAGGGAACTCAGCAATATATAGATGGAGGGAAGTGGGGCTGGGGGAAGGTAGGTTGGACGGTAACAGGTGGATGCAGGTACAGGGTTGTAGTAATTGGTCAATGAGAAGGGTGGGGTGGATAGGTGAGAAGGGAGATGGGCAGGTTGTGTCAGGGCAAGGAGGCAGTGATGAGAGGGAGGGCTGGACATGGGATGAGGCCAGGGTGGGGAGATTTAGAAACTGGTGAATTCTCTGTTGAGTCCATTGCATTGTAAGCTCCCGAGGCAGAATACAAGGTGTTGTTCCTCTAGTTTACATCTGACCTCATTGTGACAGTGGAGGAGGCCCAAGATGGACATGTTATCAAGGAAGTGGGAGGGGGAGGGGAGATGGCTGGCAACTGGAAGCTGGTGTTAATTGGAGTGTACAGAGTGCAGATGCTCTGCGAATCTGCACTTGGTCTCTCCGACATAAAAGAGACCACATTGGGAGTAAAGGATGCAGTAGACCAGCTTAGAACATGTAAAGATGAATTTCTGTCAGATTTGGAATGATTGTTTGGGGCCTTGGACGGAGGTGAGAGGGAAGGTGTAGCACTTCCTATGGTTGCAGGTAAAGGTGTCGGTTGTGGTGTAAGTGTTGGTACGGACTGTGGAACGGACAAGGGAGTCACAGAGTGAGCGGTCCCTATGGAAAACAGATGGGGTGGGGAAGGAAATATTTTTTTGGTGGTGGGGTCTGATTGCAGGTGGCAAAAATGGCAGAGGATTATGAATTGGATTTCGAGATTGATGGAGTGGTATGTATGGGCCAGGGGAACTCCATCCTTATTGTTGTTGGAGGGAGGGGGTTTGAGGGCAGAAGTGTAGGAAATGCAGGAGATGTGGTTGAGGACGTTATGAATCACGGGATAGGCGAAATTACAGTCCTTGAAGTAGGAGGACATCTGGGATACCTGGGAGTGGAACACTTCATCCCGGGAGCAGATGTGGCAGAGGCAGAGGAATTGGAAGTATGGGATCGCATTTTTGCAAGAGGGTGGGTGATAGGCGTAGTCAAGGTAGCTGTGGGAGTCGGTGGGTTTGAAATGGATGTCGGGGCTAAGTCAGTTACCAGAGATGGAGACGGAAAGGTCCAGGAAGGGGAGGGAGGCGTCGGGGATGGTCCAGGTGAATTTGAGGTTGGGGTGAAAGTTGTTGGTGAAGTGGACAAACTGTTCGAGCTCCTCAGGAGAGCACGAGGCAGAGCCGATAGTCCTCAATGTAGCCGAAGAAAAGCTGAGGGACGGTGCCAGTGTAACTGCAGAAGAGGGACTGTTCTACATATCCTACAAAGAAACAGACATAGCTTGGACACATGCGAGTGCCCATAGCCATCCCTTTAGTTTGTAGGAAGTGGGACAACGATAAGGAAAGAGTCCACTGGCCCACACATATCACCCCACCAATTACTAAATCTAATGCATCATCCTCTGCCATTTTTGCCACCTGCAATCAGACCCCATCCCTATCTGCTTTCCATAGGCACTGCTCACTCCGTGACCCCCTCATCTGCTCCACACTTCCCACCAACACTTCCACCACAACCAGCACCTTTCCCTGGAACCTGCCCCTACACCTCCCCTCTCACCTCCATCCAAGGCCCCAAACAAATCCAACCTTTACATCTTCTAACCTGGTCTACTGCATCTGTTGCTCCCAATATGGTTTCCTCTACATCGGAGAGACCAAGCGCAAACTCGGTGACAGATTCGCGGAGCATCTGACTTCTTTACACTCCAATTAACACCACCTTCCGGTTGTCAGCCATTTCAACTCCCCTTCCCAATTCCTTGGCGACATATCCACTGTCACAATGAGGTCAGATGTAAACTGTAGGAACACTTTATATTCTGCCTTGGGAGCTTACAATGCAATGAACTCAACAGAGAATTCACCAGTTTCTAAATCTCCCCATCCTGGCATCATCCCATGTCCAGGCCTCCCTCTCGTCCCCATCTCCTTGACCTGACACAGCACTGCCTGTCCATCTTCCTTCTCACCTATCCGCTCCACCCTTCCCACTGACCAATCTCCACAACCCCCTACCTGCATCCAGCTATCACCATCCCACTTACCTTCCCGCAGCCCCACCTCCCTCCATTTATTGCTGAGCTCCCTTCCCCCTCCCCAGTCCTGATGAAGGGTCCGACCCGAAACAGCGACTTTCATGCTCCGCTCCTCCAGCTCCACATTTTATCCACGCTGTTCAGAGATGTTACTGCTCATCTCTGGAGCAGGCGGGACTTGAACTCCCGTCTCTTGGCTCAAAGGAAGGGACACTACGACTGGATCTCAAGAACCTTCTTGTTCACGTTTGTAATGAATGACCCAAGAAAAAAACACATGAAATGTGTGAAGTGCTATCACAATTGAACTGTAGGTTACTGGAAGCAGCCCATTCGGCTCATAGTATGTGCTGGCTTTCCACCACAGTAATCCAAAGTGATCTATAATTCGAAGTTATCAATCACACTTTCACCCCATGGTCCTGACTTTTCTACCTCAAACATTCTCCAACTACCCGTTAACAGCGACATCTTGCAGTTACTTGATTTATTTAAATGTAGCAAAACGCATGTTTCAAGATTGCTTGCTTCAAAAGACTCAAAGCCTCCCGGTTTCCAACAGCCGCCCATGTAAATTGTCAAGGCTCTCCCACTCACTCGAAGTGACGGATGTGTATAAACCTACTCGTACTCGTCGATTACATTTCAGTCTATAATTCAGCTCCGAGTATTCTGCATATGCCCACTAACTGTACGCCTCGATTCCATTCCAGACTCTCTGCTGAGTCCGTTATTCTCCATATAAACCCCAGCACAATTCCATGTAACTGTCGAATAACGATGGAAAACAGAATAAAGATACGACTGCATTCAATTGCAAATCATTTTATCGTATTACAGGATTATAAACAAACTGCACAGAGAGTTGTAGTGTCTACTTTCATAAAGATCTGGTTAATTAAAATTTTAAATTAGTGGCCCGTTTGTGCCCGGGAGAGAATGACTACTGGTGACGTGGGCCCCACAGAGAACAGAAAAGCATCCGCCAACGTCCCCTTACACGCGCAGATAACCTCAAGACAGGCGCCCCATTGAAAATCTCTGAAATTGCAAAGGGAGGGTGCGACTCCCAATCCTTTAGAAAAATAATACAATACTCAAGACCGAGCCCTTGTAACCAAAGAACAAAAACAAAAATGTAGCAGCAGATAACATAAGATTCCCCGTTTAACCGTTGACTACAAGGTTGGAGGTGCTGGTCACAATGTTTGGCGGGGGGAGTGAGAAATTGAATAGACGATGGAACTGACACAGGTCCGTTTGCTGAAGCTGTCTGGAATCCGCCTCCCTCCACCCCATCGGTTCTTTAATGGGAGGGAAGGGGGTTGCTCGAGAGCAAGGAAAGAAATTAAAACCAGCAGCACTCACCCGAAATCTATTCAGAAAAGCCGCCCTTCCGACCTCCCCATCTCCCTCCGTCCACTTTACAAGTGAATTTGGGAGATAAGAGTAAAAAAAACTTCTTGCAAATTCCTACTCGCAACTATTTCGGAGGGTTGGCTTCGACACAATAACGGCCAGAGGGAGAGGTAGGATACATGTCCTGGATTTATCAAAAAAACATTAGTTAGCCTCGAATAAACAGGGTACACATTTACAGGATGGCAATTTTATTTGTATTAACCATGTTGTATGTGTCAAAGTTATTTTTCCTTTTGTAAAATTAGTATTTTAAGAAGACCACTTGCCGGTACTCCCCTAAGGCTGTGAGGCTGATGGAAGAAACCTCATTTACATGAAGATTAAGGGTTGACATCAGGATTTTGTTACAGTGTATCATTCGGCGGGGAAAGGTATCAATTTATTTTTAATTATTATTTTCTTTGTGGAAACCGATTAAATCTGGAGGAATACCGTTACAGTCGAGCCTCGAATGTGGAAGAACACTTTATACAAAATGACAAATCGTGTCGCCAGAGAATCTTACCAAGGTGGGATCCAGAATCCTACATTTTTCTCTTCATTTTAAATGTTACGTTTAAACGATTAATAACTTTCTTTCTCTTCCATCGGACGATTTTTATTTCTGATAAATTTCAAGCAGTTGTCGGACTAGATAGACATATTTTATTTGTGTTTTTTTTAAACCATTAATTGAAGGCGCGCTCGGCGTCTTTTACTGTTAATTTCTCCAGAGAGGGATGGCAATGTCGATGCGGATATCAGTCGCCAGTTTATTACTCCAGTCCCCTGAAAACTCTTCCCCGTGTTGAAATCGGAAGGTTTCTGCTTTAATATTTTAACCCAACCCCCACCAGTCTGATCTCGTTGTTTCGGAGTGTTAATGATCAGCTTTGCGAAATATGCTTAAAAGCTCCCACCCCGATTAAATCCCCATTTAATTTCGGGGTGGTCTTTACACATCGGTGGGGGAGCTGTAAGGATTGGGGATAGGGGTATGCTAGTAACTTCAAAGTTTGATCTGTCTCCATATCCTCTATGGCGAATTCTGCCGGCTGCCTGAACTCCGCCAGATCTCGCCTTTGGATTCTCCCTCCCCCCCTTCCCCTCCCCCCTCAAATCTCTTCAGGGGAGAAAAAAAACTAATTTTTTTTTCTCCCTTCGTTACAGACATGGATTCTGCATCGCCCTCAACTTTCGACTCAGAGGTAATTCTATAACATTAATTCTAAAAGACCTGAACGGCAGAGGTCTTTGGATCTTCCTATGGTCAGAATTTAGATTTGATTTTTGTTTTTAAAAGTGATCGATTTCAGTCGACAGTCGGATCGATTTCATGCCCACAGGGGTCCGATTATATATGTCGCGCCATCTTGTCAATTTACCATACCTGTATGTAATTTTTAAGACCCCTTGTTAATCAGAGCAGATAGGTTTGTGTTAAAATGTGTCTCACTGCCTTGCTGTGCCCCTATTCGAAGTTAGCAATGTATTGTTGCAGGGGTGGGGGGACATTTCCTTTTAAATCAGTGCTGTTCTTTTTTTAAATTCCCTCCCCTCCAAGAGTCTGCTGCTTGCCTGGTCCTCAGGGATCGCCAATCCCGGTGTGTGTGTGTGTGTTTTTTTAATGATGAATATTCGCCATCTTGCCTCTGACCCGTCCCTTTTTTTTTCCCCTATCCTTCCCTCCTTGCTCAAAAAAAATTATTTTCCTAGTTAATCGTCCCGCGCCTCCTGTGACCTCCTCCACATCTGCCCCGAACTCTAATCCCACACACTTCGATTTTACTAACCCAGGTTGTTCTACTTTTTTTTAAAAAAGAAAACAATTTTTATCAAAATGATGATTTTGTACGGGAATGTGCCCCACGAGCAGGCCGTTTAATTTATGGTTAAAATGAAAAATGTTTTACTGGTAGTAAAATGTATCAAGTGTACAGGAATGAATCGGTCCCTTTGTTAAATGGTGAAATGTACAGTCAGTTGGGGATGTTGTATTGTGGGTAGATGGAACCCCCCCCCCCCCCCCCCGGATTGTGGATTCCCCGAGATACATCAATCTGAGTTTTAACAGCGAGCAGCTCAATCCTCGGGAAATTTGTAAAATCGGAAAGAGCGGTTGCCACAGCAAACCTACTTTTTGATCAGTGGGACGAATTTTTATTTCAAATGGACGAAACGCGCGATCTTGCTTTAAGTGAGTGGGAGTTGATAAATCCGGCTAATAAGTGGACTATCGGGGTTTAGATAACAGAGGTCAAATTGTTTTCGTATTGTCTATCTTCAAGTTTTCCTGACTAGAACCTTCTGCTCCTTGTTTCGTCCCCGGCAGTAATCCCATTCCCGTCTGTTGAGCGATATTCTAAGGCAGTTCATTACTCACCAAGAAAATAGAATGTGATGCTGGGGAGGATTAAGTACAATCGTTCTGGAGGCTTGGTGCCTGAAGTTTAATCGGACACTCCGCTCCAGATCTGACCAGGAGGTCCACCTTTAGAAACAGAGCCCAAGAGGCAATTGAGGCAGCTAAAGTGTTATGTGTCCCCTTTACCTAGAAATTGCACTGAAATATCTTCTAATATATAATTTTATATGTAAGTCAGTACCATTTTGTCAGGAACAATTGATTGCCGAATTAGTTTTTTCATGAGACGTTGATTTGAAAGATTTTGCCCAAATCTGTGCAAAATTTCGACTGTGCTGAGTGCTGCACATTATTCTAGCTGCACACTGTGACTAATAACAAGGTCTTCCTTTTCTTTGTTCTGCAGTGTTTATGGTAATGGAGCCAAAATTAGGTTTAAATCTTGAAAAATTACTTGAGACTCACTGCTCAAATTGTTGTCTGGCCATCCATAAGCACTGGGCCAATCAGAGTCACACAGCATGGAAACAGACCCTTCAGTCCAATCAGTCCACATCGACCATGTTCCCAAACTAAACTATTCCCACCTATCTGCGCATGGCCCATATCCCTCCAAATCATTACTGTTCATATACTTATCCAAATGTCTTTTAAATTTTGTAACTGTACCTGCATCCACCACTTTCTCTGACGGTTCATTCCACACATGAACCACTCTCTGTGCAAAAAATGTTGCCCCCTGCCATGTCCTTTTCAATTTTTTCTCCTCTCACCTTAAAAATATACCCCCTTGTTTTAAACTCCCCCATCTCAGGGAAAAGACCCTTGTAATTCACCTTATCTATGCCCCTCACGATTTACTGAACCTCTCTAGGTCATCCATCAATCTCCTATGCTCCAGTGAAAAAAGTTCCAGCCCTTCCAGTCTATTTTTATATCTCAAACCCTCCAATCTTGGCACATCCTGGTAAATCTTTTCTGAACCCTCTCCAGTTTAATAATATCTTTCCTATAACAGGGCGATCAGAACAGCACACAGAGGTCTTACCAAAGTCCTGTACAACCTGAATGTGACATCCCAACTCCTACATTCAAAGGTCTGAGCAGTGAAGGCAAGCGTGCTAAATGCCTTCTTAATCACCCTGTCTACCTGTGATGCAAATTTCAAAGAATTCTGTACCTGAACTCCTAGTTCTCGCTGTTTTACAACACTACCCAGGGCCATATGATTAACTGTATAAGTCCTCACCTACCATCTCACCAGCATCTACATCCAGAAGATCATTAGCTGCCATTTCCGCCACCTCCAGCAAGATGCTACCACCAGACACACATTTCCCTCCCCTCCCTTGTCAGCCTTCTGCAGGGACCATTACCCTGGGACATCCTGGTTCACTCTTCCTTCACTCCCAACACATCCCAATAGCCTCAGGTCATCTTCCTCTGCAAACATAAAAGGTGCAACACCTATCAGTTTACTTCCTCCGTCCTCAATATCCGAGGGCCCAAACACACCTTCCAGGCAAAGCAATGCTTTACCTGCACTTCACACAATCTGATCTACTGCATTTGCTGCTCACAACGTGGTCTCCTCTACATTGGGGAAATGGAGCATAGACTGGGTGACTGCTTCTGTCTGCAGAGAAGACTCCAAGCTTCCAGTTGCCTGCCACTTCAACACATCACCCTGTTCCCTGGCCAACATCTCTGTCTCAGGCTTGCTGCAGTGCTTCGGCGAAGAAGAGCACTTCATTTTCTGCTTGGGGACCCTGCAGCCCTCTGGACTGAATATTGAGTTCAATAACTTTCAGGCTTGAGCTCCCCCATGTCCTTTCAGGCCTTGTTAACACATAGTCAGTTATTACACACAACCCATTGTTAGCCACTAACAGTCCCCATTAGTAGCTATACACCCTACTAACCAGATCATTATCCACTCCTTTGTCCAACTGTTCTCTGTTTTTGGGTTCTATCCCTACCTATTGTTTACCCCTTCCCCCACCCCACCCTATCTTCTGCATTAAAAACTAGCATTTTCCTAACTACCATCAGTTCTGAGGAAGGGTGACTTGACCCGAAATATTAACTCTGATTTCTCTCCATAGATGCTGCCAGACCTGCTGAAACTTTCCAGCAATTTGTTTTTATTTCTGATTTATAGCATCTGCAGTTTTTCGGTTTTAACTGTATAAGTCCTGCCCTTGTTTGTATTACTAAAATGCAATATCTCACATTTATCCAAGTTAAACTCCATCTCCATTCCTCAGCCCATTGACTGAAATTATCAAGATCTCTTTGTAATCATTGGTATCCTTCTTCACTGTCCACTATACCACCACCAATTTTGGTGTCATCTGCAAACTTCTTAACCATGCCTCCTATATTCTAATCCGAATCATTTATATAAATGACAAACAAAAGTGGATCTGCATCTGTATTGCACCATTTACACAGGAAAACAGAGCTTCAGAAGAATGTTTTCAGTTGACATACGGTGGCAGATCTGTACCCACTCGCACTGAATCCCAGTATTACTTAGCTGAAAGTAGGATGAAAATTTCACCTACTATTAAACATCATTGAAATTTTGGGGATGACAATGCAAGAATCCCACCTCTTCCAGTCATACTGTCCCTATAATCCATTACTTTACTATTAGATAATGATAGAAACTGCTTGATTTTAAACAACTGTTCAGATGCTGAAAGTTTTGAAATATTAGTGATGATTGGAAAATTTCATAAAGCTATATTAACTTGCATACCAATGACCAGAGAATGGTTGGTTAGTTTGTCTGTACCGATTGCACAAATTCATATCTAACCTTGCTCTCCCTTTTCCCCAGGATTATACTCCAACAGATAAAAGGTGTAGGACAGTGGAAGATTTTAACAAATTCTGCACGTTTGTCTTGGTTTATGCTGGTTACATCCCCTACCCTCAAGAAGTGAGTTCAACTGTTTCAAACTCCCAATTTTTATTCTCCGTCACTTTGCAATTTGACCAAGTAACAATCTTTCCTGCTCGGGTTGTAGGGAACAACATACAAGTGATGTGGATAATGTCACAATTTCAATTCCAGTATTGGTGACAAGCTCCATCCAATGGTGCAATGCATTCATCCAGTGATGAAGTGACCTGGAAAGTCCCAGGTTTGATTCCTGATCTGGAATACAATGTCTTGACAGAGTGATAGAAACAGATTCAATAATGATTTTTTTTAAAAATGGGAATTGATAAACAGTCCAGCTGGGCTAATGGAAGGAGAAACTTTTAAGGCTTAGTGGAAAGAGTAAGCAGCATGAGAATAATGAGATAGCTTTTTCAAAAAGACAACACAGATACTGGGGGGGTCAAACTGTCTTTTTCTATCTTACATAATTCATTTCTAAGTTGAATTAACAGGTCTCGACCAGGTTGACAACAAAGGCAGATCAGTTGAACCCCAGGAAGGGGAAAATTTAACTATGGATCTTGCTCCTGATCGCCAGAAAGTAACTGTGGCCACTGAAAGGATGTTTTAATTGGGAGACCCCTTTAATTTTAGACAGAGACAAAGGGAATATGTTTGTCTGGAAGGTCTGGGTAATTCTCTTCCTCAGAGAGGAACAGCAGCTGGGTCATTTTAATATTTTTAAGGCTGAGTTAGATAGATTCATGGTTGACAAGAAAGTCAAAGTGTATGGGAGTAGACAAGAAAGTGGAGGCCACTATTGAATACAAATTACAAGTAGACCTCTTCAGCCAGCTCCACTGTTCAATAAGGTCATGGTTGATCTGATTACCCACAGTCTGCCCTACCACTGATCAAATCAGCTAGGATCTTACTAGGTAATGGAGGATTGAGGGGCTGCATAGGCTAGTCATAATTCATAAGTTTGTGCGCACTTCAGATAAGGGCAATGTGAGCTTGGCTGAGATCCCACTAAATTGTTCAGACAGTCACTGTTTGGTAATGGTGACACCTGAGATACTAACGAGGAATTGGGATCAAGGAACCTGTACCCTAGCATTGAAGAGGAAAGGAAGGTGATAAATGAAGGAGAAACATGGGCATATACTTTTCTTTAAGTGTGCTTACCAGTGTCCTTAAAAACAGGGAATAATGTATAACAAAACTTGCATGATTTTGATTGAAGCTATCCACAAAAGGGTGTGAGGGGAATATGAATGGGAGGAGGAGGAGGAGAAAGGATTTGATGATTCCTACCTGGCCTACTTCACTTTCACTTGGTAACCATCTTCAAGTGTCAGCATCAGAGACCCTTTAACACCACCCAGAGATGGCATCTCTGTAACAATGTCCAATTAGGGAGAATGGAGGCCTTCTTTTAAAAAGGGCATCATTGGCCTGAATTTGATAGGCAAACTTCCCACCACTGCCCAGCTCCCCCCTCCCATTTTCTAGACATGTATTACAGAGATATCACATAAAGTGCTTTGAGGGCTGGATGTTTTGGTTTGCAGAACAGTAAGCAGTCACTCCCCAGTTAGCTTCTGGGCTCATTTTGTTACACTGAGCAAATAGTTGAGTGTAATCTGTTTCTTATTTCAATCCCGTTTATGGGTAGAACTTCTTGTTTTCCTGTTAATGTTGTGGCATTCCAAGCATGTCGCTTAGAATGTGCCAATTCCCAAAGAAAACCAGGGACTTTTGATCAAACAAGTTTTCTGTTTGACTGTATGAAACTGACTCCACTTCAAAGTGTTGGCTTTCATGGATTTTGTTAGCTTTTGGGGGTCACCTGTTGACTAAGGCTGTATAAAGGAGTGGGTGGAGATATTATTTTAAAAAAAGAAGAAAATGTACATTTCTACAGCACCTTTCATGACCTCCAGATGTCACAAAACACCTCACAGCCAATTTCGTAATGCTGGAAATGTTTCAGCCAATCTGTGTGCAGCAAGGTTTCATGAGCAGTTAATTAATGACCAAATACATTTTGTTCTTTTTTTAGTTGAGAAATAAACATTAACTTATGTTACAAGAGAGAACTCCCCTAATCATCTCTTTTAAAAAAAAAAGTACAACAGGATCTTTCATGAGAGGATAGCTAAGGCCTCCTCATTTAAAAAAAAATCCATGAGAGTGCTCCAGTTCTTTAGTACCTCCCCAGAGTGTCGACTTTGATCATGCTTAAAGATGATCTCTGTCACTGAAGAAAAATTACTAGGAAAGCTGATGAGGTTAAAGCTCAATAAGTCCCCTGGATCTGATAATTTGCATCCTAGGATACTAGTAAAAGAAGCAACTTGAGAGCTAGTAGATGAACTGGTAGTAATCTTCCAAGAATCCTTCAATTCTGGAAAAGTCCCAGAGAATTGGAAAACTGCCAATGTAACACCTTTATCTGCAAAGGGAAGGAGGCAAAAATGGGTAACTATAGGCTAGTTAGCATAACATCTATCATTGGGAAATGTTAGAGACTATTATAAAGGATGTAATAGCAGAACATTAGAAATGCATAATATAATCAAGCAGAGTCAGCATGGGTTCATGAAAGGGAAATCGTGCCTGAGATATTTCTTAGAATTCTTTGAGTAGGTAACAAGCAGGATAGATGAAGGGGAACCAGTACATATAATGTAGTTGGATTTCCAAAAGGTAATAAGATATTGCACATGAGGCTACTTAATAAGATAGAAGCCCATGGTGTTGACTGCATAGTGAAAGGATAGAGGATTTGCTACCTAATAGAAGACAGAAAGTTGGAATAAAGGGGATATTTTCAGAATAGCAGCCTATAACCACTGGAGTGCCACAGTAAGCATACTCGGGCCACAATTATTTACAATATGAATTCATGACTTGGACGAGGAAAGTGAGTGTACAATAGCCAAGTTTGCAGATGGCAAAAAATAGGAATGGAAAGGCAAGTGGTGAGGATGGCACAGAGTCTACAGAAGGCTAAGCAAGTGGACAGAAAATTGGCAGATGGAATATTGTGTGGAAAATGTAAGGTTATGCACTTTTGGAAGAAAGAACAGAGAGCTGAACGTTATTTAAATGGAGAAAGCTGCAGCACACAGGGATTTGGTGTCCTCATCCATGAATCACAAAAGGCTAGCATATAAGTTCAGTGGGTAATAGGGAAGGCAAATGGAATGTTGGCCTTTATTTCAAAGGAAACTCAATATGAAAGTAGGGAAGTCCTGCTAAAACTATTCAAGGCACTGGAAAGGCATGAACCTAGAATACTGTGAACCGTTTAGGCGTTTTATCTAAGGAAAAATTTATTGGCATTGGATAAGGTTAACTAGACTGATTGTGGGTACAGAGAAAACAAGGTCTAGAGCTGGATGAACACAGCAGGCCAAGCAGCATCAGAGGAGCAGGAAGGCTGACGTTTCGGGCCTAGACCCTTCTTCAGAATTGTGGGTACAGAGGGCTTGTCTTGTGAGGAGAGGTTGATTTAGATTTGTCCTGTACTCATTGGAGTTTAGAAGAGTGAGAGACCTTATTGGCAGATTCTCACAGGCTTGACAAGGTAGATACTGTGAGGTTTTTTCTGCTTGTGGGAAGAGTCTAGACTCAGAGGGCATTATCTCAGAGTAAAGGGTCATCCATTTAAGAAAGAGATAAAGAAGACTTTCATTTTTCCCCAGAGGATAGTTGAAGTAACTGCACAGAGGCTGATATCCCATCACCAAGTCACCTGTTATTTACGTGTGCATAGTACATGGGCTCTGACCAGGCAGCCGAGAACCAGTCCCTAGACTGGAGAGACTCTCTGAATCTCTTGTTTATATTTTTTTCACAACCAGGAAAAACACCCATGCGGTCAGTGAACCAGTAACAAGCAAAGCCGATAAGGGCAATGCTAATCTCCTGTTTATATCTGTCAGCCAGGGCTCCCTGATTGGCCCAAGTTAACAACCCCCATCAAAGATCTCATGGTTGATGAGATCCACCTGGCCCTCGCTCCAATCACTATATTAGTGAATCTGTGGAAATTTTTTTACCACATAGGGTTATCAAGGCTAGCTTGTTAAGAAATTCAAAGCTAAGACAGACTTTTAATCAGTAAGGGAATCAAGAGTTCTGGGGAAAGGACAGGAAAGTGGTGTTGAGAATGATCAGATCAGCCATGATCTCACTGAAAAGCAGACCAGACTCAATGGGCTGAATGGTCAACTTCACATACGAGTATGTGCTTAAATGTTTGGTGTAACATTTGAACCCGTGAGTTTCTGACTTGATGTCAAAAATGCTGTCTACTCGGCATCAGCTGACTTATTATCTTCCGCCACGGTGTGAGGGGAAACTGCAGCAGCTCATTGACCTGTTATCTTTCTGCATTTCAGGAGGTGCCCCTTCGGACCAGTTCCAGCCCTCCCAACAGCACGGGCAGTACCGTGGAGAGTGAACCTTGGGACATCCCACTGTCTGTCCCTGGCAGCAATAAAGGCAGAAAAACTTACAGCAGTTTCAAAAAGGCCAAGCCATACTCATTTCTGAAACATCACAAATCGGGCAGCTTCATGCTGCCTCCTTTCAACCGCAGGAAGCCCGACAAGGTGAAGAGGAGGCATGAGATGAAGGCAAAGGAGGACAGTCTGAGGCTAGAAGAACCACAGATTGAAGAGGCCAGCAAGCAGGAGCCACCTGACTCCGTCGCAGAAACCAGTGCATTTTCTCCTGTTCGTGGAGCAGAGGATGCGACAACAGCTTCTATTTCCCTGAAGCATCTCTCCCAGGAAGCCCTTAGTCAGCAGGCTCTCAATCAGCAGCCCCTCACTCCAGAGCCTCTCGTTCAGCAGCCCCTCACTCCTGAGGCCCTTGATCAGGAGCCCCTCACCCTGGAGCCCCTCAATCAGCAGCCCCTTGCTCTCAAGGCCCTTGATCAGGAGCCCCTCACCCCAGAGACCCTCGATCAGCAGCCCATCACTTCGGAGACCCTCGAACAGCAGCCCCTCATTCCACAGCCCCTCACGGACACTCCAAGCGCAGGCCAGGACAGTTCTTCTGTGCCAGCTACTGCAGCAAATGTGCTGAATGAGACGATAAAATGTGAGAAAGTAGAACGACAGAGGACTGTTTTCCGTCAGGGAAAGCAGGTGGTGTTCAGGGACGTGGACACAACTGGGAATGATGAAGATATCATGGTGGATTCTGGTAAGTGAGTTTTTGGAAGGTTAAATAGTTCACACTCACCAACTCCCCAAATTTTGTTGACCATTTTCCAGGCACAAATCCAGAGTGTGATGGAATATACTCCACTTGTCTGGCGGTGTGCAGCTCCACAAACACTCTAGAAACTCCATACTATCCAGGACAAAGCAGCCCACTTGATTGGAACCCCATCCACCACCTTCACCATTCACTTTCTCCACCACCAATGCACAATCCTAACCCCAACCCATCCAACAGATTCACTGCAACAACTCACCAAGGCTACTTCAACAGCACCTTCCAAACCCGTGACCTCTACCACTTAGGAGAAGGGTAGCAGATGCATGGGAACACTTACCAGCTGGAAGTTCCCCTCCCAGCCCCACAACATTTGAAACTATTACTGTGCCTTCACTGTTGCCGAGTCAAAATTCTGGAACTTTCTAACTGCAAAGTGGGTGTTCCTACATCTGCAGCAGATCAATAAGTGTCTCAAGAGAAACTGACATAGTGTGATTCACAGTCTCTGGGTGCTCCCTTATGCCTCAGTTACTAAGCTACCTTTTCCTGTGTGGGCCTAAATTCTGTGGATTAGAACCATCCCAGATTTGATTGGTTTTGTGCGCAAGACCACCTGTTCTCAGCTAAGCCATCAAAACGACTGTCACCAATGGCATAGCTGTAATCATCCATATTACTGACAGATTATAATTAGCATGGTAAGTGAAGGATTGTAATGGACAGGATTAGAGACCAGTTTATACAGAATATATTATTGATAGACCTATGACTATCAAAGCTAGTACCAGTGCTAAATTATAAGCACTGGGACTTTCTAACTGTCAGAACTAGCAATGGACGATAACCAACAATATTGTTGACATACATGTAACAACTAGGACTAGCGGCAAAAGACCACCTCCAGGACTGTCCAAAGGGCCAGTGATCTTCACAACCTGGCCAGAATGTCTTGAATCTATGATTCTGGTTCTCATACTGCACCTACAATTACTTGAAATCCCTGCAACAGTACTCACTACCTTGCATGTGTACCTAATTGCCATGGACTTGGGCCAATTTCCCAGTGTCAAATCTGTCCAATCCTGAGTATAGCCCAGCCTGTGAAAAGCTGCTGTCTATCAACCTCATACTAGCCCTATTGCTTGGTGTACACCTCAGTGAACTAAAGAATTATCCTTGAAATAATTGAGGATAAATATACATTGTATTTTCTCACGAGCTGACATTTCCAAGAATATTTCCACCTCCCTTTACTCTTGAGGTTCTGACTGTGTTTGGGGTTTGAGTCTGTTGCTATCAGGTAGTGCGTGTCACCAAATGTGGGGAAACCCATCCAAGATATTTTTGTCCAGCTGTTTACATTTATTTTCCAACAAGAGTTGCTTGATTGATTCTGTCCCTTGTCCAAGGGGTATGAAGTCAATTATACTTTCTCCCAAAGCCATTCTTGCTGAAAACTCAGCAGCAGCAAGGATACCTAGGACCTCCATGATTTGTATAACTGAACACCTGCAGTAACAGGTAAAATGAATTCTTCTTTGACTGTAGATTATTGGGCAGCTAAGTAGGCGTCCTTTTCAGATCATGAACATTGTAGGAATTATAATCGGATTATAGCTTGAGAAATCCAAGACATTTATGGACTGAGCTTTATTCCCTCGAGTTTCAAAGATTGTGTGATTTAATGAGGTGTTTAACCTACTTAATAGTTTGATATTTTCTCACGATCATGTGGTGGGGAGTCCAGAATAAGGAACATATTTTTTTAAATAGGAAAAAGTTGTTCAGCGTTGATGTCAGGAAACACTATTTCACATAAAGGGCAGTGGAAATCTGGAATTCTCTTCCCCAAAAAGCTTTTGAGACTGGGGTCGATGGATAACATCAAACCTGAGGTCAATAGATTCTGAAATAAAACAAAGAACTGTGGATGCTGGAGATCTTAAACAAAGTCAACAGGTCTGGCACCATTTGTGGAGAGAAAACAGAGTTAATGCTTCAAGTGCAGTGACCCTTCCTCAGAATTTCTGATTTTTGTTTAGATCAAAAGATTCTGGTTGTGCAAGTCTATTCAGGGTAATGGAGTAAAGTGTAGATTAACCATGAGACAATTGAGTAGTGGAACACATTTTGAGGGACTGAATGGTCTCCACCTGTTCCAGTGTGTTGTCTTTTTCTCTGTGAAATGATTTTGGTCAGTCTCAATCCAGTTCCAAACAAGCAAAATTCCACACCAGAGAAGTACTAGGAAAATAACAGATTGGTCAAACAAAGGAGTGGTCTTTTGAAATTGGACTGAGAAATTTTTGATGGCCTTGGACATGAGTGAATATACAACTTAAATGAAGTGTTCAGGTCTATGTTAATTCGAGAGCGAGAGAGAGAGAAGCACCAAGCTTTGCCTTGTCCATGTGTTCTTATCCGTCTGTTATTTCATCATCAAACTTTCTTGCACTCCTCTCAACTTGGTTATGAAACTTGGCCTGACTTATCCTCAGGACAACTTCAGGTAATCCACCAATCTTTGTGGAAATAGTTATTCATCACGTGTGAGCCTACTGACTGTGCCTCAACTCCATCCAGGACAAAGCAACCCATTTCATTGGTGCGCCATCCACCACCTTCCACATTCAATCCCTCCATTACTGACTCATGGTGGCAACAGTCTCTACCATCTACAAGATGCACTGCAGTAACTCATCCAGGTTGCTTTGATAGCACCTTCCAAACCCATAACTTCTATCATCTAGAAGGTCAAGACCAGCAGATGCATGGGAACAACATCAGCTACAAGTTCCTGTCCAAGGTGTACACCATCTGACTAGAAACTGTCACAAAGTCAAAATTCTGGAACAACTCCTTGATGGCACTGTGGATGCAGCCTACATCACATAGACTTCAGCAGTTCGTCACCAAATTCTCAAGGGTAATTAGAGAAGGGCAATGAGTGGTGATCCAGCTAGTGGCGCTAATGTCCCGTAAAAGAGTTTCAAAGTCCCATTCCAGAAACCTGAGCCACAAAATTGAAGCTGACGCCTGCATTGCAGTACTGAGGGAGTGCTGCACAATCAGAGATTCCCTCATTCAAATGAGACATTAAAACAAAGTTTACCTCCCATTTTCCTTTTCATTCATTCATGAGATGTGGGCTTCGCTGGCTGGGCTAGCATTTGTTGCACATCCCTAATTGTGCTTTTTCAGGTGGACGAATGTTTCCAAGGCCTTTATTTCAAAACAGATCAGGACAGTTCTCTGTAATGTTCTGACTAATATTCACCCATCAACATCGCTAAAACGGATTATCCAGTCATCATCCATTCGTGAGATCTCACTGCGCACAATTTAGCTGCTTTCTCGATGTTACATCAATTATCAGTGAAATTATCTAAAAGCACTTCACTGCATATAAAGCACTTGGGGACATCTGGGGCTTGTGAATGTTGCTACATAACTGCAAGTTATTGTTGATCTGGTTTGTGATTAATCTTTGGACCTTTCTCTTAAAACAGATGATGATTCCTGGGACTTGGTGACGTGTTACTGCATGAAGCCGTTTGCTGGCAGGCCAATGATTGAATGCAATGAGTGCGGCACCTGGATTCACCTGTCCTGTGCCAAAATCCGCAAGTCCAATGTCCCGGAGGTGTACGTCTGCCAAAGGTGTCGAGATTCCAAATACGACATTCGGCGATCAAACCGATCTCGAATCAGCTGCAGGAAGCACTTCCTCGACTGAGGTGTCTGAGTCTTTCTATCTTTATTGGTTTTGTTTTGTTTCAGGGAGAGAGAGAAGAACGTTGAATCGGCAACAAGGGAGGGTGGGAATCAAAAAAAAAAAAAGCATTTTAAAACAAAATAGTTTGGTGCACTTGTTCAGAGAGTTCCATCCGTTTGCACGGGAATTGTGTGCTTTTTGAATCTGTGTCTCTCCCTTCACCCTCTCTGCCTCCAGGGATAACCCAAAAAATCAACATAGATTAAGCCAATATTTCTGTTATCACACCCTGGATAAATGAGCACAGAGGAAATTGGAGGCTCGGGGTTGATTTGCAGGAAGAGGGGAGTGAACTTGCTGACTGCTATAAACTATATTTTCCTTCCCCTTTCTCCATTCCCTTCACTCTTACCTCTCACCCCTTGCATCTAAAAAGCCTTAATCCACCAAGGTCTGCATGATGAAAGTGATAGCCATCACTCCATTTTTGGTGCAATCCCCGAAATGTTTGCTGCTAAGGGAGCTGCAACAGATAAACAGGGCCTGTGCAATACACAAAAGGCTTCAAGCATAAATGTTATCAAACAAAATGAGAAAGGAATAATAGATAATCAATACCTAATGGCCTGCCATTTAATAAAATGAAATAAAACCAGATAGTGTTGGAAATACACCATGGTTCTGTCAATTTGAGAGTTGATTGAAGTAGGTTCTGATCAAGGGGATGCACCTTAAATCTGTCTTCTCTCTTTACAGGTTGCAACTGACTTGCTGTGTACGTCTAATATTTTCTGATTTTATTTTTGCTTTCCGGCACTTTCACTTTTAACATGACAATATTTACTTTGGTTGAAATGAGTAACTGATGCCTTTTTGCTCCCTCCACACTTTCTTTAAACTTTACAGCAATCGAAACCCAAACAAGTCCAGCTATTCTTAGAGCATACTAGTTGACAAAGAGTTAAAATCCTGCCGGAAATGTGTGGTAATAACCTGGGTTAATCTGTCAGGTTTGACTCGTGCTGTTAAAATGTTTGGAATAGACAACCAATTTTGGATTATTTTTTGGAGAATGTTTGTCTTAAGGAGGCCTTTACAATTTTTATGCCTGCAATTCAGTATTTAGAACTAAACTTGGTACTTCTGTTAGGAGGAAAAATATCCAGGAGTATGGCTTTTAAGTGCCAGGAATATGGCTTTTAAATGATCAGTTAATTAACTTTCTCCTTGTCTATGCATTGAAAGAATTGTTTTATGGGTTGCGAGGGCAGGAGATGACAAACTCAAAATTTTATCAACTGTTAAAAGCTCTGGATAGGGGAAGGTCTGTTAAAAAGACAGCAACCCAGCCTCTCTGTTTTTGTGGGGTTGGGGGTGTGCCAGAAGGAGGGCAAGAATATCCTATCAGTTACTTTTAAGTCCTTTTGGTCCTTACTTGGCAGCACATTCAATGAGTTTAGGACAGTAATCTGTGAACTTGAATTGAAGAGTTGGGTGAAAGGGGAGAGAGAAATCTCATCGTCCTCTCTTGTCCACCTCTGTTCCTTCCTCTGTACCTCCGAGTACATGAAGATATTGTAGAACATGATTATGGTTCCCAAGATGTTGCCTCAGCCATTCAACAGGTGCTCGTGTGGTGGTTTAAATATGTTCAGTGGTGATGTGGCTTCATTTGGGAAAGCTCTGGGGTCATCTATTGTGACTGAGTCTCGGTTTGTAAATTGCATTTAAGTTGATGCAGACACTATTGTTTTGGGCATTGTAAATCTAAAGTCTTCACCATTTGACCCTTTCCATAAAAGGAAGGGGTTGGGGAGATGAGGAGGTATCCTTCTGGTTCAACCTTCCATCATTGTATATTGTAAAATATTGTTCATGTATTCTTACTCTCAAATGTCTTATCCTACAAAAAAAATGCCAAGTTGTGTTTCTTTGACTTGCTGTTTCCAGTGACAGGAAAGAACACAGAATTGACTCCATTCATTTTATTGGAGTCAATCAAACTGCACAGTGCTTTTGCCTCTCATTGTAGGTTGAGAGCAGTTGTACACAACGAACAACTTTCCATTAGTATCCTGTAACCCTCTCCCTTTCCTGTTTAACCAATGGTCAGGTTACCTCAAACCAGCCATATGATAGCTTTCTCCCCTGGCCTGTGAAAATAGGCTGAAGGAGGCTGTAGGCCATTGACATAGTGAGCACTTAAAGATGCCTGACAATCAACCAGCATCCCCATCACCACCATTGTATACCAGGAGTTAATTCACATCATCAATCACCCAGACTCCAATATTAGTAATGTAACCTTGCTATTGAGGAATAATTTTTCCTAACTACTTCCCTTCTACTGAAAGTAAATGAACTGGTGGTCTCTCTTTTGTTGTTAGAGAGTAACCCTTTAAAGTTTCCTCTCTATGTACAGAGGGAGGGGTCAAGAGAGAAAGACAGAGATGGTGGGGTGAGAAGGCAGTTGTCATAGAGCAGCCACAGATTTGATAGTAGGGTTCTGATCAGAACACAGGCAGGATTCTCACTCACAATTGCTATCCCATGTTCCTGTTGGGAACATAGGCACATGAGTAAGGGCAGAATCAAGCTCAGCTTGCTAACCACAGTGAATTAGCTGGATGACACACACTTTTCACACACAAGTGAAAAATAGCTGTACAGCCAGCAAGTAGAGGGTCTGGATCTACACAATCCACCTGTTAGAGGAGGAAAAAATCCTCAGCCAACGTCATATTAAAAATAATTAATCAATCACATGCTCAACTCTCTCTCCACCATATTCTTTTGAGGAATATCTGTCTCTTTTACACCCTATGCCCCATAACTTAGATTCTCCCACAAGAGGAAACAACCTCTCTACATTTACCTGTCAAGCACCCTAAGAATCTTGTATGTCTCAATGAGGTCTTCTCCTCATTCTTCTAAACTCCAATGAGTACAGGCCCAACCAACTCAATTCTCCACATAAGAAGATCCCTCCATACCCAAGATAAACCTAGTGAACCCTCTCTAGACTGCCTCCAATGCAAAACATCTTTCCTTAGATAAGGGAAAATGATCAAAATGAGGGTTTTTTTTAAACAAAGCAGCACTGTTATTATTTCAAACGGCAGTGTTGCTCTTGCTCCTGTTGAGAATGCCTGCACGAGATTATCATGGACGCGTAACAAGTCTCTGACTTTGAAAATGTGTGCCGGGAGTGTTGGACTGTCTCCTTGGAAGAATTGTTAAAGTGGAACAAAGAAAACCTTGTTTCTGTGAAACTTTGTACGTGTATATCGGAAGTTATTTTGTAAATAAAGATTTAACTATTGGTATTTTAAATAATAAATCTGTTGTAACTTATTTCTCCTTTATTTTCTGTATCACATGAAGGACTTTAAGGCATGGAAAAATGCAGTAAAAGTTAGATACAGAGGCAAGTCTACATTATATTTCCCAACTAGACTACATGCTTGAATGCAGAAGATAGATACACTTAGTCAGTTCTGAACCTCAGAACAGACAATCTAGATAGTGATGATGGAATAATTTGAATAGTTTGTATTCAGATTAATGCTTGGATATTGTTGGGACAATATTCAGACAGAATCTTTGCTTCTTTTGCTACACAGCAAGCTATGTTGTTGGCCCTAGTGTTCAAATAATCCACATCCTTAATCTGATTCACAGAATGCTGCACATGGTAGAGATTTTAAATAAAGACGTCCATCAGAAAGGGAAAGGCCGCACAGCAAATGCAACAGAGGTTCATCAAATTAATCCCTGGTCTTGTGGAATTGTTTTATGAGGAGAGATTGAGGAAACTAGGTCTCTATTCTCCAGAGTATTGAAGAATGAGAGGACTTATGAATGGATATGGATAGAATGTTTCCCTTTGGCAAGTCTACAGCTACAATAACTATTGTGCTCAGGGTAAATTGGGAGGCCATTTAATACTGAGTTGAAGAGAAATTTCTTCACTCAGAAGGTGGTGAATCTTTGAAATTCTCTAGAGGGCTGTGTAGATTCAATCATTGTGCAGGTTCAAGGCAGAGATTTGTAGGTTTCTGAAGCCTAATGACATTAAGGGATTTAGAGGGAGTGCGGGCAAATGGCATCACCAAGACGATCAATCATGATCTAGAATGGCAGGGCAGGCTTGTTAGGCAGAATAGCCTACTTCTGTTGTTAACATAATAAATGTAGTGGTACAACTGATTAAAAGGATTGAAAGAAAAAAATGGTTGACTTGTTTGTTGGCTCAGTTGATTGAACTCTTACCTGAGATAGAAATTTGTGGATTGAAGGGTCATTCCATCAGATAAATTGGAGTTGATACTCCAGCGCAGGTGACATTCTCCATCGTCAGATGCTGTCTTTTAGATGAATATTTAAATGAGGTACAATTTGTTCATTCAGGTGCACTTTAAAGCATTGTAATATTGAAGAATAAGGGTGTTCTTCCTGATATCATGACTACTATCAATTCCCCAATGGACAACATGAAATTATTAATTTATCTGTTACTGTATGTGAAGCTTTAAAGTACAGTGAGTGATCACAAATGCACTGTGCCTGTTCCTGCACTTGAAAAAGTAACTTATTGGCATTTTGCAATGTATTGCAGTATAAAAGGTGCTATTTAAATGCAAACATTTTTGGACAAAACGATTGGCAGCATGGTCCTCCCAGTCATTAATGTCAATGTTGCTGTGCTTCAAGGTGTCTTTGAAGTGTTTTCTTTGACCTCCTATGGGATGTTGGCCTTTTGATAGTTGAAAAAATAGGAGCGAGCAGGGAAAGACCAAATGGCCACAATCTGTCCAAGTTGATTTTGCAGGAGTTTTGTCTAAATGCTTGTGGAGATTAGTTGAAGAACAGATAACAGCAAATAATGTCAACTCATTTTTAGAGGAACGTAGCCCATGGAAGCTTGATAGATGGAGAGCTATGCAGGAGTTACTGAACTTGAAATGTGTTCTCTCTGCACAGATGCAGCCAGACCTGTTCAATCTCTCCAGCACTTTCTATTTTCATTTCAGATCTACAGTCTCCAGAGTATTTTGTTTATATTTTTGATTGTTGAAAGTGCAAAATCTTCCAGTAGGGAAAAATATACTTTGCCAATGGACCTCTTCCCCAACAGCAGACCCATAGAGGAACACATGGCACTCGCTACATTGTCGGTGACGCCATCGCGCAGGCCGGAGACCCCGCCTGCCGTGCGCCCGATGACGTCATCGGGCATTTTCCTACCCCTCCCCCCACCCCGCAAAAAATCCCAGCAGCGATTGCGGTGAAAGGGCTCGCGCCTCCGGGATTTTTTAAAAATCTCCATTATAATTAAATCTTACCCCGTAAGTTAAGCACGCGGGGCTGTGAGGGGGACCTGTCCGGGAGCGGTTTGGATTTTTAAATTCGCCGCCCTGAGATATATTTTCGGGTGGATGGATGTGTTGGCTGTGCCGCCAAGCAACGGCGCCATTTTGTTGTGAGGGGTCGCAGCGCGCCGACTGTTGCCGCTAGGCCGCCATTATTGTGGGGGGCAGAAGCTGGGACTGGGTCATGCCCAAGTCGTGTGCTGCCTATAACTGTACCAATAGGTACAGCAGCAAGAACAAGGAACTCACCTTCCACAGGTAAATCCGCTGGGCACCAAGAACATCAATTGGTATTGAGAGTGAATAATCATTGGATACGATGCACTTTGTTAGAAATAATTAATTGTCTATAGATAACTAATCAACCTATGTGTACGAATTCTGTCATTACCGACCAACAGCACATCAGGGACAAGTAACTCAATTGTCACTGTAAAAGAGTTGTGGATCCAAAACTTCAGTACTATCACCTGTCTATGCTGAGTGGAGTCATTTTATACAAATATTTAAGCGATTAATATATATAGATACAGTAACAGGCATATATGGACAAGAAACTCACCTCTCACAGGTAAATCAGATAGGCACCCAAAATACTGTACGATTCATCAATGTATGTGTATATGCTGATCATGCCTGTCAAATTTATGCTAATTGTTTAAGGAAATAAGAAGAAGGAGAGATAAAGGGGAACCAGTAAATGTGATTTTGTTTGGATATCCAAAAGGTATTCAATAATGTACCCCACATAAGGCTGCTTAATAAAATGAGCCCATGGTGTTGGAGTAGTGTGTTAGCATGGATAGAGGACTGGCTAACTGACAGCAAACACAAAGTTGGCTAAAGTGAGTATTTTCAGGATGGCAGCTAGTGGAGTCCCACAGGGATCAGTGCTGAGGCCGCTTTATTTACAATATATAATGATGACTTTGATTAGGAAAGTGAATGCACTGTCGCCAGGTTTGTGGGTGACTCAAAAATAGGTGGAAAATTAAGTAGTAAGGATGACAGAAAGAGGCCTCAGAGGGATACAGATCAGTTAAGTGAGTGGGCGAAATCTTGGCAGATGGAATGTAATTGTGGGAAAATAGAAGGTTAAGAAGAATAGAAAACTGAATGTTAATAATGTTGAATCAGAGATAGTAGGAATTGTAGATGCTGGAGAATCCGAGACAACAAGGTGCAGGGCTGGATGAACACAGCAGGCCGAGCAGCATCATA